TTTTTATTGTTTTTTTTTGCACATTAATCTATATATAAGAATTATATTGGGTTATGGGTAGTTGTAATTAGAGAATCCTTATCAATATGCTATTAATTTATATATTTCAGATTTTGTATACTAATCTTGTTTATTTATATATGTATTGCTTATTTATTGTTCATAATATAGCTGAATTAATATACAGTATGTTATTACTTTAAATTGTATTGACACATCTTAATATTATTGATTTGTCATGTTAAGAATGTATTATTTTATATATTTATTTTCATGTAACGTGAGTAAATAGATTAGTTGTTATGATTGTTTTGTTACTGATTTTTACTATTTGATTCAAAAAATCTAGATATTCTTTTAAATTTTTGAGTCTTGAGTTTGAAATGATTTATTAATTTGGGTTATTGTTTATGAAACTTTTCTTAATACCTAGAAAAGTATTAATTTATACTGATCTGGTTAAAAGTTTTATAAAGTTAATATTGGGTTTCAAGAAGTCTACTATAAATTAGTTTATTTTTGTTTTTTTTTATTTTTAAAGCAAATTAAAAGTAAAAGATATTGCTACTAAATGATAATATTTTTTTTATTGTCCAGAGTTAGTTATATATTATCTGAAAAAGAGTTATTATTATCTTTCTTTAAGACTATTTTTTATAAAAAAAATTTTTTTAAGAAAATTATTATAAAAGAAAATTTTCTAAAAATTTGAGAATTACAAAAAATGTTTTTTTTTTACAAAAAGATAAAAAATTTAATCATAATATATTTTATATTTTTTAATTAAACTTATGAATTAATAATATAGTGATAGTGCTTTTAGTTATTAAATATTGTTTTTGAGTTTATTACTATTGCAAGATGGTATTATCTAAGTTTAAATAATACAAGAAGATTCCATTTATTCTATAATAATAATTTAATTATCTTTGGTTAAATATTATTTGATTATAGAATATTTAAAAGATTACAAGATATTTTAAACAGTTTTAGTGTTAAAAGTCATTTGGTCTTTAGATGGATTTTATAAGTTTTTGTAAATAAGCTAAAAATATATATAATAAAAAATTTGAATATGTAATTATATCTAGGTATATTAGTTAGAAGAAATATTATTATCAAATTAATAATTTATTCAAGATTTCACATGATTATTCTATAGATAGGTTATAATAAATTATATTAAAAAAATGGTTCAATAGAATGAGATGATATTTAAAATTTCATATAAAATATTTTATAGATATATTATAATAAATAGTTCTAAATCAAGAAACTTAAATATAGTGTAACTAGTTTTAATAATAATGATTCAGATACAGTGTAAAGGAATAGTAGAATTTTTTTTGTAAATGCATTATAGAAAACTGATACCTTAAGTATTGAAAAAATAGATTTATTGTAAACTTTAAATGTCATCTTATTGAAATATTGGGTCACAAGAATATGAATAAGAATTTAAGAATAATAGAATCTATGCAAGTGTAATTTAATATGTACAGTATATCTCATATAAAAAGGCTTGAGGGCACCAATATATTCAACAAACTAGACAATATTATTCTTATTCTCATAAATATATATAATTAATAAATTATATATTTGACTTAGCTTAGTTATAAATAATACAAAAAAAAAAAAAAAAAAAAATCTGATAATGAAATAAAAAATATATGATAAAACTAAAATATATGTATTCTTTTATGGTGAAATAAAAATACATATTTATATTTTTTAAAAAGTTTTCTTTGCAATATTGTAAATTTATATCAATACGGTAAAAAAAAATTTTGTAAGATGGATTTTCTTGATATTAATTGTGCAATAGCCAAGAATTTCAAATTTATAGAATTCAAGATCAGTGCGATACTTTGAACATAAAATAATCATTCTTTTTTTGTCTAAATAAAAAAATATGACTGCGTCAATGGTATAATTTTACTGCTCTACAAAAATTGTTCTTTTTTTTAGTAAATGCGCATGCGGTATGCGGTATGCAGTGTGCAGTGTGCAGTGTGCGGCATGCATATACTGTACAATTAAAATTATTATTATTATTTTTTTTTTTGCACTTATCATCTATTCATCTATTGCACATGTAAAATATTGCCGTTGTGTAATATACAGATTTGGTAAACACAATGATTTGTAGTATAGTTATGCATATACTGTATGTGTGCGCATAATCAAGGGATGGTAAGAAGTAAATCCCCCATGTCATTGGGTTATATTAGAAACCCATTCCAACTCAAAATAAAATCTTTCAATCATTAACAGTTTTCTCATTGATTGCGTAATCGATTACTAAAAGATACATTATCATTATCAAATATGTATGGCGGTAATTTGTAAGTAAACTCATCAAAGTTTATCTCCGATCGTCTGTAATTTATAATCGAGACGCACTGTACGTGGTCGAGCTTTTATTGGAGCGAATTAAAATTTTCATACACAGAAAGTTCACCACCACTCTTTAGGTGGAAATTATGATAATATTAGAATGAATCCTTTTTTAATAAGGACCATTCGTGCCAGAAATTCCGAGAAAATTGCCAGAAGGTTTCCTCGAGGCTTAGATGATGATTAGTATTAAGTGCATTAGCAACTCTCAACTCAGTAACCTATCATTCCATCGGAACGTTTCACGACAATTTGTATTGGTTACGCAATTGATATTTTGGTTTCGGTAGAACGCGGAATCTCCAAAAATAAATTTCATCAAGAGTATACCACGTGAACGGTACGTATATTGCCATGCGAGAATCAACCGTGGAGATCAAATAACCGCAATTTTGCCGCCAACATCCAGAATACTATTGGACGCCAACTCATCTTAACAATCTATTGTTCAAATATTGTCGCGTCCGATGCGTCCGATGCGTACGTACGTACGTGCGTGCGTGCATACATTTGTTCCTGAACCATATCTAATGATGCTTCTACCACGGATGCATGAAGTGAGAAATCGAGGGATACATAAAAAAATTTTCGATTAGCACACCACTTTACCAAAAGCATCAGGGACAAATTTTTGCTCGTGATGTCATATGAGCAAATAAAATTAGTGCGAATATTTTACGCGGACTATATCGAATCGTGTACTACTGCTCACCGTGTCTCGATTCTCGGAATGTCCGACAAGTACCATATCAAGATAAAAATTCCAGAAAATTTGGAATGGTGTAAATGAAATGAAGATCCCGCTTGTGAATTCCCTTATACGTCGTTGTTTTTTTTTCTTCGTACACTTACTTACACGCAACAACACTTCTATGCAACAGAAGGAATTTGCGTACCAACCATCGAAGAGTCACCTGGAACGCATTTTAGTATTTAATAATAATATTAATAAATTTTTATTTTTATTTTTATTATTATAAACTTCCAAGGGACCACCTGGAGGACGGCTTTGTTTAATTTTTATTATTTTTATTATTATTATTATTATATGCACATGCATCCTTCCAAACGCCACAATGGGTAAAACATTCCGATGCATTCATTGTGGTAATCAAAGTCATCCTTATTCTCACTTATGCATTCATTACCTTATTAACCCCAGAAGATTTGTTTGAGATGTTAAGCGTGCATGTGTCATATTTGAGTTTTAAATTTTGGGAAGAACGAATTATGATTTCTTCACCTTCACGCAATGTATCAAAAAAAAGAGTCAATTTGTTTCAACAATATTAATTATTAATTACCGGAGAAATTCCTATTCTAAAAAAAATTTCGGAAACCTCCTTCGATGAGATTATCACGAGGTTTAGTTTTTTAGCACGAGTCTATCACCACGTTATCACCAAAGTTTGACTCACAAAATAGAAAAAAAGGGTGAAAAATTTTTGACGCCAGTGGAATCTTGGAAGATCCGACGGCTAACCATTCTGGGAAATGTAATGCTAGGGCGAACGACACTCGTGGTCTTAAAGTTTAAATGGTCACAGCAAACAACAACAACAGCAACAATCGAGCTCATACCAACCACGGCGCGTATCCGTGCGATTGCTCTCGCATACACACGACTACTCTGTGACGCGAACGCATTCCCGAAAGTCAAATTGAAACCTAATGACAATCAGCGGTTTTTCATACTCGCACGATCGAGTGAAACCTATTCGTGATCGAAGTATAAATTAATCACAAGGCGAGAAATGAATATCGACGTTCACGAGTTTCACAATAAGAGATGATCTTATCCGAATACTGTCTTCGCTTTATCGATGAATGATGAATTTCAGGTGAATATCGTAATCGAAATACTTTACGGTAGTAATGATAACGATAAATTTGTCATTGTTTCATATTTCGTTACGTTCATAATAAATGTCTCAGAAGTTGTAATCCCTGTGACCTTGTATTCGCCATCCCGCAAAAGAGAAACGGAAACTTAATGTTACAGTAACACTCGATTTCCCATGGCAGCACAAAATGATCTGTAATATATCGAGTATTCCCTAATTTACAAAATGAATGCCATCTATCCGTTTAAATTACTAGTAACAACTATAAAAATTGCATATATTCAGGTTTACCTACCTCTTTAATGTAAATCAGGTTGTTGATTAAAGAGAAGGTAGGGCACGAGTTTTCGTGAAACAAATAAATTGGGTGTGCATAAATGGCAATCAATAAAATTTCCCTATATATAATTGGAGTGCCTGTGAATTTTTGCAGAAAAAAAAAAAAAAAAAAAAAAAAAAAAAATTTTTCCTAATCAGTTTTTTTTTTTGTGAGTCTCGCCTCACGATTTTTTTTTTTTTTTGAGAACTCATTCTTTCCACAAATCACACCACACACATTCCCTTTTTTATGTACATAAAATCAGTGGCATACGTGCATCGATATCAACGTCAACGCATACAACAGTATACTGTATATTACTACACGCCACGCCTACCCACACATACGTATATACTGTATATATATACACCACATTCATAATATTTAGTAGTTTTTATCGAAGGAATCTCGTTCTCCATCTATCTCTCCTGGTTATCATGGGGAATTGTCATTCGGACACAACGGTCAACACGGAGGATGAAGGCATGGTCGTACCACCAAGTCCCGTATCAACTGCGTCTCATCGATTCTTTAATGCTCGTTCGATGCAAATCGCACACGAAACATCAAAGAGTTCCTTCGAGTCACATAACGTTTCCGAAACAAAGAGACTTCAATCACAATATTCTTACATGTCAAATCTATGGGAATCAAAGAAGTTTCACTCTCCGCTTGACCAAAAGTTACGAGGCGGAGGGATGAAGGTTCTTGACATTGGGTAAACATGTGATTAACATCTATTTCACGCTCGCACACGCATATAGTTTGACTAACCGTTATTTGATGTGTCTCAAAATTGAATAGGTGCGGCACGGGTGAGTGGATCCTTGACATGGCCAAAGAATACCCGAACACACGATTCTACGGTCTAGACATGTTACCGATTTATCCGACCTCATCTCTCCCCGAGAATGTCAAATTTCACCAAGCCAACCTACTCGAGGGATTGCCCTTCGAGGACGAAACCTTTGACTTCGTGAATATGAGTCTTTTGGTCAGACACCTGACCACTAGGCAATGGGAAGATGTTGTGGTCAGAGAATTGGTGAGAGTGACAAAACCCTTGGGATTCATCGAATTGATGGAAGGGGATTTAAGTTTACACAATCAAGGTCCGATTACCGCAAAATTGCAGGAAGCGTGTAAGCTCCTTTCCTCTTCTCCATTTCTCATGTTTTCCCTGCGCCCATTGCGATAATATCATTCACCTCCGTAGTTCTCGCGTCGATGCATGCCAGAGGTATCAGTCCAATGATCGAGACGATCATCTCCAGGATACTTACGACAAATCCTCAATTGCATGGCTTGAATGTCGAAACGCGAATTGGCTTCTTGAACAGGTGGGGCGGATTAAATGTGAGTGTTGTTCTCTGTCCATTCATCTCCCCTCCCCTTTCCCCGAACGTCACTCACTGAAACTTTCAACAATCATATTTCCTTTTGAAAAAGAGTTTGGAGACTGGTTTGCAAGTATTCAAAATGTTGAAAAAACCAAACCTGGAATTTATGAGTGTCACATCGTCAGAATATGATGATATGCTTACATCCTATGTCCAAGAGGTCGAAGAGTATAACACATATTGTAGATTTTATCGATTCTATGTACAAAAAATTGATGTTTCACCTTCGCCCATGACCTCGACCGACGATCATAATCATTTCACCGAGATCGCAAGGTCCTCCTCTACTTACTCTAGGAACGCGTCGAAGAATAGCAATGCCATCACACTCACAAGAAGTTACAGCACCAACACCAATAACAATTTTTCATATTCCTCTCAAACTCCAAGGAGTAATTCCCTTAGAGCAAGCTCTATACGAAGTTTAAATTCTTTAAAAAAATATTCCTCCAAGCAAAAATTGTAAATTCTTTGGTCCCCATGGTTTCTCTTTGTATTTTATTTTCCGGAAAGGCAATTAATTCTCTCGACATCATCTAACAATCTGAAAAAAAAAAAAAAAAAGACCCCCCCCCCTTCAAAAAAAACAAAGCATGACCCAACAACATACGACTCTTTTTTTTTATACATATTTATTTTGTAATGTCACCTTCAGATTCACCATTTTCCACATAGCTTTGTCCAAATGCTTCGAGCTATCTAATTTATCTCTCATCGCCTTAAAACGATGCTGTTAGCGTTCATCATAGATTGCATAACAGTTATTTATGATATCAAAATATCTATCTTGTATTTAGCTTTATTATTTTTAAATTACTTGGGGTTTGTAATATATTAAAAAAAAAAAATACTCAGCCGGCACACTTTACATTTTTAAAAACTGGATCGACTCTTTTCAAAGATCACATGACCAATATTAAATCTCGCGTTGCTGTTATGATTCGTCGAACTATTTTCGGAGAATTCTTATTCGCGTAATGCACCAAAATTTTCCGATTCGCCAATGAATTTGCCCCTAGTACACGAGTTCTCCTTGGTACAGGCCTTATATGGTCATTTATGATCATTAGTGATTGCCTATCATTTAATGGTGTGCCAAATTAAGAAAATAAAATAAATTCAGAATTGGCTTTTCGTGGAATGGAAACTCTCTGTTCGTTGTTGGTCATAATATTTTTAAAGGTGCTGCACCTTCGTATCTAGCATAGATTGATTAGTGCCTGTGTCAGTCCGTGTCACAAATAGAGGTGCACGCGTAAACTAAATGAGAATAAAATTTTAATATCTATAGATGATTCAAAAATAGATAAATGAATATATCGCATTGCGCACAATAATATACGGACCAGATGCAAATCCAAATTTATTATGCGTACGGCGCAACAAGATTTAAGAGAAAAAAGCGAACTGATGGTTTTCTTCCTAAAAGGAAGACGAATAGGGATTTATGGCAGCTTATCGTGCCACAGCTCCTACCGTTACCTATTTATCCATTTGTTTATTTATCCATTTAAGTATTCCCAAAATTAAATATAAACTTATTTAGAATACAATATATGGTACACCCCGCAGTATACTATGCTGTACATATACAATATTTATTCATTGCATGCTGATTTAACTATTATTTCTTTAAATAAAAATGTGATGATACAAATAAGACCTATTATAGTTAACAATCAATCTTATTAAACAAGTTTTTTTAACAATTTTCTTGAAAAACGAGAAGTTAATTAAAAACCATAATAAAAAAAAAAAAAAAAAATGATATAAAATACTTATGACTTTTCAACTTAATTGTAAAATAAATACTTTTAAAAAAAGATAAAAATCCAAAGGTAAATTGATTCATAATCAGTTTAAAAAAAATTCCATATTTTTTTAATTCTTTAAACTTTAATCAAATCAATATCAATATAACTAGATATATGATGGAATTAATTTTTAAAAACTTTGAAAAGTAAAATTATAGTAGAATCATTATATTTTTAATAATGATTGATAAGATTATTAATAATAGAATTCAGATAGAATTGCTATAAATAATAAAATTAATTATTCTATTATTTAAGCTACAAATTAGTCAAAACACACAAAAAAATATTAAGAAAAGATTTTTAAAAAATAAGATAATATAAACTATCAATTTTTAATTTTTAAATCAAAACATTAAATCAATATTACAAATATAATTATTTTATTTATCAAATATACACTAGTCAAAATTATGTCATTCAGTAACTGAATTATTATCGAATTTGATTAAATTTAATAATAAAAATATTGCCAAATTCTTTTCGATTGCTGCCACTCGACATATTACATTTCGGCAATAAAGTAGCAATTAAAAATTCGGTAATCAAAAATTTGACAATCAAAAACTCGGTAATTAAAAATTCAGCTATCAAAAATTTGACAATCAAAAAATTCAATAATCAAAAATTTATTAATTAAAAGTTTAATAAAAAATTCATCAAAAATTTAATAACTATTCAGCAAAAATTCATTAAAAGTTCATCACAAAATTATTTATTAAAAATGATATTAATTTATTAACAATTTATCAAAAATTC